TTACCGCCCGGTTTCAAACCTTCCATTCCTGGGTAAGGTGATTGAGAGAGCGGTTGCGGAACAGCTTGGTAGGTTTCTGGATGAAACATCGGCTCTGGATCCATTCCAGTCCGGCTTCCGCGCTGGTCATGGGACTGAGACGGCTCTGGTCGCCCTAACAGATGATCTCCGCAGGCAGCTGGATCGAGGCGGGTCGGGGCTGCTGATTCTTCTAGACCTGTCAGCAGCCTTCGACATGGTCGATCACAAACTCCTGGACCACCGCCTTGCCGACGTGGGGATCCAGGGCACAGTCCTTCAATGGCTGCGCTCGTTTCTCTCTGGTCGGGGACAGAGGGTGGCGCTTGGGGGGGAATTGTCATCCCGCCACTCCTTGGTGTGTGGAGTGCCCCAGGGTGCGATACTCTCCCCAATGCTTTTTAACATCTTTATGCGCCCCCTTGCCCAGCTTGTCCGGAGTTGTCCACACCCAGAAGAAGCATGGTTTATTGGTGTGGTACCTGAACATTCGTTCCCCCTTTTCACTTCCTCTACAGTTTCCCATTTCACCCAAACCATGAAACAGCAGCTCTAACTTCTGACTACAAACCAAGATTGCAAACCATAGTTCAATCCTTGTTTGCAAGGCAGGATTATAAACAGTTTCCAGAGTGGTCTAACAATCAGTCCCTCTTCTCTGGGAACTCTGGGTATCATAGGTCTGTGAGAGGAATAGGGGTGCTCTAACAACTCTTTGCACCCCTTAAACAAATGAAAGCTCCCAGATTCTTTAGGAGAAGCCATGACAGTTGAAAAGCTAGCATAGTGCTTAAAATGTGTAGTGTGGATGTGGCCTATACGTAGTTCAGGGTCCATAACAGTGTTGTGTATTCTAGAACAATTTTAACATTTATATTCAGACAGCCCCTAATTCTGGAAGTTAAAGTGTAGCATTGAGCCTATGGTTTTCATAAAGCTAAAGAAAGTACTTATGCAGATAGACATTAATGTTAGATCTGAATTATCTGAAATAGTTCTGTAATTCTAAGCTCACGAGAGTAGCAGGATAGAAAAGTCTCCTACATGCCAAGCCCGAAATGTTACATACAGCTGCAGTTTGATGGCCATTTCTTCAGTTACATGCAAGACCATATGCTCTTACGCCATGCATATAGGATAACTATGGAAAATGCGTTGGCATTATTCATTCACATAAAATTGTCTGTACGAATTAATATCCCAGCTGGACTAATGCAAAACAGAAAGAAACTCTTATGCTGCCTTGCAAACTATACACATGTTGAACTCATGAGATAAAAAATTGGATGCAGCCTGAACAGCAGTGGGAGCAGTTGATGAGGGGAATGGGGTGGGGGAATCACCATTTGAGAGCCACTAAGGGTACATCAAAGAGGGAGATGTAGCAGGAACTAAGGTTACATACATATTATATATATCTCCCTGTGTGTATGTTTTTAAAATGTAATCATTGCTTTTAGGATAAAGAAATGGTACAGACTGGCTTCTTTCTTTTGTTCTTCAGGAGATTGTACTATATATTTATTCAAGACCTATCCAAACCTATCATGGGTTTGAAGTCTTTGACTTACTTTGTATATTGTCAAATTACTGAGTGGAGTTCCAATGGAAATACTCAACTGGAACTTCTTCTTCTTGCTAAGTGGTAGTAAATTCTGGGGGAAATCAAAGATACTTTGCAATCAGATATATCCAGAGATTTATAATGCACAGAATCTCAGACAGTATATGATGGAGGATATACACAGTTTTTGGAGCCCAGATTTCATAGTCCTCATGTTTTGTGAAGAACAGTTGGATAGCTAATGTGAAAAGGTTAGCTATCCAGAAACTAGAAATAGTACTTTTAAATTTCTAGCAGCTACAGCCTAGGTATACCATTTACATTGTTCTATGCTTTCTTCCAGACTCCCCCTCCCTGCTGCCACTTGTACTGTGTCCTATAGTACAGAGCCTTGCACCCTTCCACCACTCTAGTCTTTGAATTTAAATTTTGCTAATAGACTGGACTAAAGTATTAAAGAAAATCCTGGTGACAGGATTTGGAAAACCAGACCCCCCAGAGAATGGCTTTGCATTCAATATCACATGTATAATGCATGCATTGTATGGATATTGTGACATTTTATATCCGCATGCACATTTTTTCCACACTTGCACAACTATAAGGCTAAAGAGTGTTCATATTGTTTCCTTGACTGTCAGGTTGCTGGTGCTAAAAAGCAGGGCCATCGTTCAAAGGAAGCACAAATGTTTGCATGCAGTAGGTTCCAGCTCTGAGTATCTCCAGCATCCAATCATAATCTAGTGAAAAAAGGGCTGAGTCTCTTAAATTAATTATTTGATTAACTTTACCCTGATGAAATTTTAAAGAAGGTCTTAACTTTGGATGGATTGGATCTATTGTTAGCAGAAAACAAAAAATGATGTTTCTTTTATTACTAACAGTCCAACATTCCAGATGTTAATAGAACATGTTAAATACATTATGTGCTATTGGATATTCATTATGTTTGAAAAACCAGGACCTAAGTCTGGAGGGGGCAGGGGGAGTGAATTTTCCTTTTAAATTGCATGAGATGTGAGCATTATTTTTCATTGCCCACTTCCAACATGTTCTATAGTATATCTCCAAAGATCAAATCATCTTAAAAGCATTCTTACTCAGCTAGTCTTGGTTTGGCCAATGAAACTTCACACCTGCATAAGAGAAGCAGAATTAGACCATGATATTCTTTGGTGCTCATTTTTATATAAAAACCTTTGCATTCAGAGAGATGTTGTCAGCTAGCTCTCCATTCTGTCACACTCTGGGAGAGAGCCTTGGGGTAAATTACTTAACCTAAAGTCACAATTAAATTACACTCCAGGTAGCTACACAATATCCAGTGGGGAATGGGCGTGTGATAAAAATTGTGGTGTGGACAGCAGTAGTACAGCATTTGTAGATTGCAGCACAACTGTGAAGTCAAATGTAATCTCTCTGGCATTATGGGCATGGAATGGAAGACAATAGCTGGGCCAGGAGTTGTAAGGAAGGAGATTTGGGGGAATTTGAGGTACATGTGAATCTTAAGTCAAATCCAGTTAGTGAGAAGTCTCTTTCGAAAACAGAGTGAAATTGTGTTTATAGTTCCATGATGAGGCTACTTGAATGATATCAACAGAATCCTGGAACTTGCTTCTGAATCTTATTCACATAGTCACAGACCTACTGAGCTTCCCAGTTTGGAACATAGGCAGCTGTCTTATACTGAGTTAGAGATTGGTCCATGTAGTTCAAGGAGAAGGGGATGACAGAGGACGAGATGGTTGGATAGTGTTCTCGAAGCTACCAGCATGAGTCTGACCAAACTGCGGGAGGCAGTGGAAGACAGGAGTGCCTGGCGTTCTCTGGTCCATGGGGTCATGAAGAGTCGGACACGACTAAACGACTAAACAACAACAGTTCAGTGCTGTCTAGTCTAACGGGCAATGGCTCATCAGGTTTTCAATCAGGAGACTTGCCTAACCATATTTGGAGATGCCAGAGTCTGAACTTAGGACCTTTTGCAGGCAAAAGATGGGCTCCTTCACTGACCTGCAGCACTGAGCCTTGCTCCACACAACCTGAAAGTATACTTTGGAACACATCTTATAGCTCCCCATGACTGCATGGCATGGAAGAAGCTCAGTAGTGGTAGGCAAGCTGTATTTCTAAGAAGTCCCGGGTTTCCTAGTCCACTGTTTGGAAGTGGATGAATCCTAGGAAGAAAGGGGGCAACGAAGACAAAATTGGACAACAGATACAACTCACAGGAATAGACCATACATTGATCTTCTGACAGCTGGGAGTGTGAGTCTAGTTTACAGGCTCTTCCCTTAACTGGAACATGGCAGAAGAAGATGCATATGCACCCAAGGGCTTGTTATTGTACAGATGCTGATTCACATGACCAACTCTTCCCTTGCTCTCCAAATGCTTCTGGTCCTTTGGAACTGGTAGTGTAAGTCCAGGTTAAGCCCTTTTACTCAAGAGGAGAGCATGCAAAAATAATTGTGTGTATTAGGAGCCTGGCTGATCTTACACTTCTTTCTATGTTTCCTTGCTTAAAAGTGTTTTCGTTACAACTTGTTTTGCTACCTTCATTTAGGTTGGTAGGGCACTGGGGTGGAGAAGTAATCTGATTCCTCAGGCATGGACAAACAGTTCAATTAGCATTTTCTCTACTTTTCTCTCTCTCTCCCCTTTGCTTTAAAGTACTCTCCATTCTACTAGTTTAAGATTAGCTGGAACTTGTAATACCATCTTTTTAAAAGAAGGTTATTATTGTTTGGAACACCAAGAACTTTCCTTTCACTGTTTCAAATATCTGTAAAATGTCTGATTTCTAGTAAAGATACTGTGTTGTCTCACTTGCTCTGCTGCTTGTACAATCAAGATAGTTACATTACTATGCCACATTACTGATTCATTTATCTTCCTGAATATGACCCATAACAGAAAGTTCAAGCTAATTCCATCAAGTTCCTTTTTTAAAAAAAAAAGTCTTTATTACCATAACCTATGTGGTTTCCTTCCACTTTAGAATGGTACAATTTTATGTTCTAGTTTGTATTATGTTCCCACAATGAACTGCCCTATCATAATCTGAGCAAATGCACAAGCAAAGAGAGTCATTTAAAGCAATGCCAGTAGTGTTCTGCAGCCAGAGAAGGTATCATTACACTTTCCTAGTCTCCCATTATCTAAGTGATGGATGTATATAGATATATATACCTGCAGGTCAAAGCTAGTGAAAGCTTTTTTTATTTTATTAATCAAATGTGTCCTGCCTTTCTGCACATAGTCTCTAAGATGGCTAAACGTGTGGTCCTATACACATCTACTCAGAAGTAAATTCTATTGAGTTCAGTGGTGCTAGTTGTGAGGAAATGTGCAATGTCCTTATGAGCAAATGGCTATGAGGAAGCTCACAAGCAGATCATGGCAGCATAAAACAAAAAGTAGCGCATGGAATTATATTAGCTTGGTTTTACAAGAAGCACACATTATCAAATCAACTAACAAAAAGTTTTAGATAACAGCAGTTCTTCTTTATTTCAATGCCTGATATCTCCTCATGGTTTTCCATTACAATTTCTTTTAGTAATTTTGCAGCTTAAGTCACTGCTGGGGGGTGGGAGTTGTTGCAATACGTCCCAAAATGTTTCCAAGCTGCTGTCAATAAGACTTCTCCATATTTGAGCTGTGGGCATTTTTCTGGCCACTCCATGCTTCTCTAATACCTGTAGAGAAAAGAAAAACAGTGCAGTTACAAACCAATGCACAAGTAACAGGAGAAACATCAGTTCAGAAGCAATCTTCAGATGTTGTTTTGGTAGCGTAAAGAGAGAAAAATTCACGTTTTTTTCTAAACATACTGCTCCAAAGTGGTCTCACAGATATATTTCATTGGTGTCGCAAAAAGCAAGGTATTGTCATTGCCATCTGTTGCTTCGTTTAGCTGCATTAATCAGGTGACCCTCTTTATGTCACACTGTTGGCCATTGATATCTTTACTTCATACGAAACTGTCCTGAATAGGGGAAGCCCTAAAAGTAATAATAATCTGATTTACTAATGTAGCATCAATTTGTTTTTTCTGTATTTTAAAAAACTGCTAGGTTTAATAAAAGAACAACTAAGATAAATTGAATTTAGGATAAATGCAAGAGATAATGTCTTCACACTCTCCTGAATACATAGAAGGGACATGGGTGCATAGAACATAACAAGGTCTGCAGTTGGAGCTTTGTTTGTGTTTACACCTCTGTAGTTTCTTCTGTTGAAGAAACCCAATGAGCAGTTTAAAAAGTAGCTTCCTACTTCAGATATGAGAAAGGTAAAGTAAAATGAAGCTCTGGCTGCATGCAGTTCTCCCTTGTGTTTGAATGTTCTGTCTCAGAATCCCAGACATAGACTGTAAACATGAATTACTTGATGTGCTATACACATCAATCATATTCCTCATTGTAGCTGCTGTGATACCAAAGGCTATGCATTGCTTCTGCACCCAACTTTTAAAGAGCTTAACCCTATATTACTGTCCTTTCCAAACTACTGTATTTAGTTGCCATAAGTTACACAGACCTGGGAAAAGGTGTTGTGCTGTGAGCCCATTCCCTCAGTCATCAGCGGTAGGCAATGTGTGTTCTTCCAGATGTTGTTAAACTCCAACTCCCATCAGTCCCAGCCAGCACAGCTAATGGTCAGGAATGGTGGGAGTTGTAGTCTAGCAACATCTGAACAGGTCCATGCTTGCTACTCAGGCTGTCGAACATAGCTATGATGCTCTTGGATGCACCAATGACAACAGATGCCAGAACCTCTATAAGCATAAATATTTACCTGTTATGTGAATATTTATCTAGTAGGTCTCTGTACTAAGCTTTTGCAAGGATGTTACTGAAAATGGAAATTCATATTTATATTTTAATTTATGAACACTGGAACCTGCATTTGTTAGTGAGAAAGATTAAGGCGGCACTCCCATGCATGCTTGCCATGAGTTCTTAAGTAAGTGGAACTCAATGAAACTAACTTTTGAGAATATATGTACAGGATTGCAGTCAACATTTCCATATTTTACTGAAGGACAATGAAAAATTTCTAAGTGAAATTCATGGTTTTCAGTTTCACTAATAATGTTCTAATAAACTTTAAGGTGGGGTACAAATATCTTCAATAAACGAATACAGTTTGCTTTCTCTGTTCTTGTTCTGCCTTACTGCTAAGAGCTCTGTCCTGCTGCTCCTCTTTCCCAGTGACTTTTCCCTCCAAATCACTTCTTATGGAAATGTCACCATAATGACTGTTAATGGCATTGACATCATTGGGGCAGAATTTTGGGGGCAGAGGTCTGGGGCCTCACTCAGCAAAGAATCAGATCAGGCTATTAATTGGAATGATGATTCTTCTGATGGTTTTGTTCCAGAAAGAGAGTGGCCTTCTTAGAGCATGGGGCATGGCAGACTTCCAACATTAAAGTTGTTCTCTTGAAAAATAATATGTAGTTCTTTTTAGCAAATCACTCCTCCGAGGCTGCATATTGTGATTGGCCATAAATCCCAACAGTTCTAAGCAATCCAGGATTATTATTTTTTAGTGCTTCAGATATGATTTTTTCTATTAAAATTGGGGCACACTCCTGAAGGTGTTTGTGTAAAGCCAGTTCATCTTGTTGGTTTGTTTTTTTGTCTGTCTGTCTGTCTGTCTGTTTGTTTGTTTGTTTGTTTGTTTGTTTGTTTGTTGTTTTATACCACCCTTCCTCCATGGAGCTCAGGGTAGCTTGTATAGTTCTTTCTTCCAACACATTTTAGTCTCACAAAACCCTTGTGAGGCTGGTTAGGCTGAGAGAGGATGACTGGCTCAATGTTACCCAGCAAAATTCCCAACTGAGAAGTGGCAGAACCCTGAGACAAAGACTCTAAGCACTACACTACACTGTCTCTCTCACTTAGGTTTCATGATGTATTTAGGTTCAGGTGCTAGACAGTTTTACAATAAATGATCCTTGCCCCTTTGGGGGCTTTTGTGTTTGAGTTTGTTTCATTGTAACTGTCCTTTTGCTGGCCTGTGCAAGACAGGTGCAATGTTCTGACAGAATCACAATCTCATGCTCTGTGTTTGTGCAGCTAAGCAACAACACAACTTTCATTTTAGTATGTTAAATATTCAGTCATCAGTTGGGTTGATTCTGGCTTCATTTCCCACCCCCCAGATTTGTTTCAGAGGCTTGAGTCAGGTGGCTCCTAACTTACCACCAAACCAGAGAAATTAATTACATTTTTTTTTCGTCATTTAAACATTAGTACCATTTGAACTGGAGAAAAGGCAAAATCATCCCAAATAGAAGTATTGCTACAACAGAAGATACCAGCTGTTTTAAGAGACTGTGATTTGGCTTAGAGAATGTGAAGGACTGATGTTGAGATTAATTGCTTGTTGGCTTGCTAGAAAAGTCATGCTAATGATTGTTGCTTATCGCTAACAACCACCAATTATTTATTAGAGTTATGAAAAAAAAACTAGCTGATGGCACCTATAGTGTGTGAAGCACTCTCCAAACCTCTGGAATGACACTCTTTGCCATGCCCTGTCAAGCTTATAATTTAGGAAAGACCCATGTGAGATTCATGCCATAACATATGCAGATGACTATTACTTTAAAAAAAGATCTCTGTAACTCATAAATAAAGTAGATGAAAACCCTGCAATACAGGAAGATGGAAGAGCAAATTCACCATATATTTATAATGTTAAACCATTATTTTCAAAAGGAAAAACACACAAGATGTGTGTCTTCCATGGGGCTTACTTCCTAACTATATTCCCCACTAAGGGAATTATTCTGTGCATACTTGGGAAGTAAGCCCCATTGAGCTCAGTGCACTTAAAGGTAAAGGTAAAGGTACCCCTGCCCGTACGGGCCAGTCGTGTCCGACTCTAGGGTTGTGCGCCCATCTCACTTAAGAGGCCGGGGGCCAGCGCTGTCCGCAGACACTTCCGGGTCACGTGGCCAGCGTGACGAAGCTGCTCTGGTGAGCCAGCACATGGAAACGCCGTTTACCTTCCCACTATAAAGCGGTACCTATTTATCTACTTGCACTTAAGGGTGCTTTCGAACTGCTAGGTGGGCAGGAGCTGGGACCGAAAGACGGGAGCTCACCCCGCCGCAGGGATTTGTACCGCCGACCATGTGATCAGCAAGCCCTAGGCACTGAGGTTTTACCCACAGCGCCACCCGCGTCCCTCATCAGTGCACTTACCTTTGAGGAAATATATTTGGGATTGGGCTGGACGGTATACAATCTTAAATCTCGCCTATTCCACAGTTGTTGTTATACCTATATAGGATTACTCTGGAATAAACTGTGATAGGATCATAGTTGTGCAGCATAGCCTACTAGGTCTGTAAAATTAGAGGACCTGATTTCAGAAGCAATTGCTAAACACATTTACTTGGAAGTAACTCAAATCAATTTTAGTTGAACATAACATTCTAGTATATAAATATGATCTGCAGCTACAATTCTTGGCGTAGTTTATGAGAAGTAAAGACCCACTGGATTCAGAAGTAACACTATAATCCTTACTTAGAGGGAAGACCCATTAAACTCAGTCAGACTTATTTTTGAGTAAACATGGATGGTTACGTGCTGTTACTTCTAAATAAACACATTTAGGATGAAATAGGGCTGCACATCTGATTTAATCCAAGTACTCTACCTCATCTGGTTTTTGAATTACAGTCTGATGATTTTTCTCAGCAACCGATTGTCCCTTTTGTCGCTTAACAATTTGTATCGCCTTGAGTTAGACTAAGTATCGATATACAGACACATAGAAACCTCTGCAGGGTATCTGTAAAACATTTTAATCACAAATCTATGAAAGTAAAACAGAGTATAACAGGTGCTGACATTAAAATACCTGGTATCATCTGATGCTAATTAGATACCTGAAAGCATAACTTTCTTGAGTGACATTTTTTGCTTTGCTGTTCCCTGCCATGTGCCCTAACGAAATATACCTTCTATAATTTGTAGTTTACAATTGCAAATTCTAAAAACAATATACCATCCTGATGTCATACTGCACATAGGCATACTTCTAAAGGTCCTTTGAGTATCACCATTGCTATGTCCCATTATAAAAGAATACAGCTACCTTTTAAGAGCACTGCACTCCATCAACATTGCAGATAGCAAACTAGCCAAAATGTCTTCAGAATACCACCACATCAGTCTTCCTAAGTTCCTAAGCCTCATCAAACTAATATCTCTATCTAGATGTGTGCTGCCTATACATCACCTTTGCATGCTGCACCTGTGATAAACTTGTGATAGCTGCTGTTGCTGGCACAACAATACCAGTACACTGGAAAGCATTCTGATTGTTTCATTGCACTGACTTACCACAACCCTAAATTCTTTCTGCAGTAGTTTAAAGGATTGTATCATTTGGCCAGTTATGTGTAAAGGGAGAATAAAGATTGGCCTTCCTTGAGACAGATGTAAAAATTATAGTTTAGCATCCTCCCAAAACTTGTCAGGAGTTATCCTTCAGCTGCATGTCTTGCAACATTCCTGGGGAGAGCTAGGTGTAACAGTTCTACTTAAGCTAATATGAGTGTGTGTGCGTGTGTGTGTGTGTGTGTGTGTGTGCGTGTGTGTGTGTGTGTTTACCAGATATTTAGCAGATAGCATACAAACTAAAAGTCTTCAAGGGGAATGAAAGAACTTCA